TTGTTGTTATTACTATTATTATTGTTGTTGTATTATTGTTATTTATAATTTGTACAATTAACTTCCGTGTGGTTTGATCCCGGTCTTGCCAGGTTATTTATTACTTCAACACTCTTACATTTGGGAGAAGACATCAATCTTTTAGTTATGTCACTAAATGCATGGCAAATGCCTCCTTTTATAGGCCAAAATTGGAAACTATTGATTTAATGACTAATTAATGAATGGGTGGTTAACTCTTGACTTGGTGACAATCCTTATCTTCTCTTTTCTACCTAAAATGTCATTGATAATGTCAGAACTAAAACCACTTGAAACATAAAACTTGTAGAAAATTGTCTCAGCTGTCCAGGAAAAAAATTGGAGGTCATTTGGACTTCTAAAACTCCTAATATGGGTCAAACACTGAACAGTGCTCGAGTTATAGGACAGATTCAAACTTCTTTATTGTTGATACAATTTGGACTTGAAAATGGTCTTTTTAAATCTTTGCTCCAAAAGTTATAGGCTTATGTCTTACCTTTCCATCCATATAAAGTAGACCTAAATCCTTATCTTCTCTTTTCTACCTAAAATGTCATTGGTAATGTCAGAACTAAAACCACTTAAAACATAAAACTTGTAGGAAATTGTCTCAGCTGTCCAGGAAAAAAATTGGAGGTCATTTGGACTTCTAGAACTCCTAATATGGGCCAAACACTGAACAGTGCTCGAGCTATAGGACAGATTCAAACTTCTTTATTGTTGATACAATTTGGACTTGAAAATGATCTTTTTAAATCTTTGCTCCAAAAGTTATAGGCTTATGTCTTACCTTTCCATCCATATAAAGTAGACCTAAATCGAGATCTACAGCTCCAGATATAACCCAATTACCGAACAGTGTTCCGATTTGGACTGCATCAACATCTCTTTTTTAAGTTTGATTATCTCTTTGTCCTTTCAATTTCAGTTCTTAAACTCATTAATCAATCCTTTTATTTATGTGATAGACCTGCATTTAAAATGAACATTTACCACAAATTAAAGATATCTTATATTATTAGATATGTTATTATAAAACATGCTTTAGTTAATGAGTTATTGATACTTCAAATGTAAAATGATGATATAAAACTTTGATAAAAATGCACTTTTAAGTAATAATCAGAATCCATGTCTCAAGTTAAAATATATAAAATTTTATTTTGATGAGTTGTATGATGATGACAAAGCATAATTGTTAACAAAGAAAGTGAATGGTAATTTGGTGAGCTTGTATGAGTTTTATTTGAAAGCTGATGAAAAGGTGGAAAATAATAGACATAAGTAGGATGTTAATGATGTTATTAATGATATGAAGGTAAATGTTAATACTTTAATTCAATTCAAAAGGCATTTACATGAAGAAGATAGTGTGGAAAATAGAAATAAGGTTGAGAGGTATTTGGTTGATGGTTGTATGGATTCTAAAGATGATAAATTAGATATTTTAAGTTGGTGAAAGAGTAATGCTTCAAAATATAAGATACTTTCAAAAGTTGCACATCAAGTTTTAGTTATTCCTATATCCATAGTGGCTTTTGAATCAGTTTTGAGCACAAGCGGTCGTATACTCAACCAATTTTGAAGTTTATCTCCAACAACAATTCAAGCACTTATTTGTTGTCAAAATCGGTTATATCATGGACCAATTCCAATTCATATTTGAACCTTGATGAATGATTTTACAAAAACCTTGAATCATATAATTTTTCTTATAAACTCACACATTTTATTTTATAATCTATTATTTAATGCATTTTCATTCTAACATGTCTAATTTTTTATTTTGTAGAATTTGATGGAAAGCTACATCTAGCAACGGATGATAATTAGAGATGATGTACACCATAAAGAGTTATTTTTTGGGCTTATAGTGTTTTATTACTGTTATTTATTGTTTTGTTTAAGCTCTTTAAATGTCATGCTTTGTAATTTAAATTTTAACTTATTAGTATGTGTTATTTAAATTCTTCTATAGGTTATTTAAATTCTTCTGCAGCGAGAGTCGGGAATTAAACTCTTCTACTACAAGAGTTCTACTCACTCAAACAAAATAGAAGAAAAATATTAGGAAGGCAAAAAACATATTGAACACAAGATTGACACTAATAATTTAATACAAATAAATATTTAGTGAAAAAAATTAAATATACTTTGGAATCTTATAAGAAAATTAGACAATATTAATATCATTTACAAGCCCAATAGAAAGTCTATTAAAAGTTCATTAGAAAGCCCATTAAAAACCCAATAAAAAGTCCAGAAAGCCTTAAAAACAATAGAGGTTTTTTTGGCATAAAAAACTAAATTGAACTGGTTGATTTGAACTGGTTTAGGTTTTTTTTAAAAAATTGATTTAGTTATTTTTTTGAATAAAAACCAAACCGAACTAAAAATAATCACCCCTTTTTATGACCATTTATTTAGTTCAAGGTGATACTCCATATATATTGATTAGAAATGAGAAATAATAATAATAATAATAATTAAGGTTTGGTTGGGAAGGAAGCTAGTTAGGTTACTATAACAAGGTTGTTAAAATCATGAGTTAATTTATAAAAAAACAAATACGAGTCAATATGTATCTAACGTGTTAAATTGAACTAAAAAACTCTAAACTAGTAAAATTAGACTTAATGATTAGTACTTAAAAATGCATTTTTATCATGGTTTTATATCATCATTTTGCACTTGAAGTATTAATAACTCCTTAACCAAAGCATGTTTTATAATAATATATCTAATAATATAAGATACCTTTAATTTGTGGTAAATATCTATTTTTAATGCAGGCCTATCACATAAATAAAAGGATTGATTGATGA